CATCCTCCAGAGAAGCTGGGGTGCATGGAGAAGACATCGTCTCCAGCATCGTCTCTATGGTATGATGACACATATCTACCCCGACAGCCCCAAATCCTCACCAATGTCAAAGCCCTGGGTGTTTGAGTGTTGAGGATGAAGCCTGTGGATTTCATGGCCCCTTTTGGTTCTTTTCGGGCCTCCGACACAGGCGAAGTCGCTCTGCTTTCCAGCTAGATTTATTTTCAAGGGCTTAGCTCTGAGGGACAATGGGAATGTTTCAGCATGAGTGCTCCTGACCACAAGGAAAAAAAGCCCCCAATACATTTCACAGACATCAGCGAGGATTCTGCGGAGTCCAGTCTTTCAGGAACAAAATTGCGTTTTATGAAGCTGTCCCTTTTCTGTTTCATCTGTCAAGCAGGTTTGCTGAGAATAATTTAAATTTCATGCAGCAGCAACTGTGGGGCATTGGGACTTCCCTTCAGGTCTACAAACAGGCCTGGCTGTGGAGTCGCTGTTCGGCTTCTCAGGAGCACCCTACCCCTGCGGTCCTGACCATATACAGCCCAGACGCACAGTGGTTTGTCCAGGGACGGGATGCCATCCCAGTTCCTTAGCATGACCTTATGCCACATCAGACAGGGGATGAGGACAGCCCAGTGCACCTTTCTTTAGCCTCCCAGCACCAACCACCAGGAGGGACAGGTTTCCCCACAAATGTATGAATAATTGGGTAGACCCAGTCACTGGTTTAACTTTCCAAATAACTTTTATCAAGTGCTTACCAAATGGCAGGTAGTGTTTTAAGCTTTTCTATGCAAATTAATTTAACCAGTTCTCACATCATCCCCATGAGGAAGACACTATGTTTATTTCCAATTCATAGAGACAAAGACACTGAGGTTCAGAGACACACTCAGCTTCTAAGCGGCGGAGCTACGATTTAATCCCAGTTCTGTCGGACGCAAAAGCTTGAAGCTCTTAGCAGTGGTGAAATGCTGACTCGACGTAACCTTTAGCTTAAATTTTCTCGTCTGTACCACAGAGGTAAATGTGCCCATTTTCTGGCCTGAAATCTCTGGCTTCCTATGAGCTGGGTGGATGAGGGTTGGAAAAGTTACCATAACAATGCTGCAATCATGGTTACCATGGTGAATGCATTCTGCCAGGCAGCCTGGAGTGGGAAGAGGAGCCGGCCCAGGCTGGTTCTGATTCTAACACCCTGGGTGACCTCAGCACGCTACATTTTCTTCGGGGCTAACCACTGTGACCTGTAAAATGAGGAGCTGGAGGACATGGTCACTCTGCTCCTCTTGGGCTCTTGAAACTTGTGTCCCGGGTGGCCGTTGATTGGTCTGAGCCATGAGTGTGTGCTGGGGGCTGGGGGAGCCCACCAGACCCTCCCTGTACTTCAGCAGCCCAGGAGTCTGCTTGTTCAACACGTGAGGAATCTTTAGGCCACAGACAAATGAAGAAGTAGAAAAATCAACTCAGGCCTGAAGGTAGCAGGGACAGAAAGAACTGTCATCACCTCACTGGCCAGCTGCGGGGAGCACAGCCAGCCTCCCCGCCCAGAGAGCCTGGCAGAAGCTGGCCCCTGCCTGGGAAGGTGACCAGGCCCACAGGGCTGGATGGGGAGGGCGATGGCGTGGGATGCCCCAGCCCCCGGAGCATGTGATGCTCACCCTGCACCCTGCCCAGCTAAGAGGGGATGCTAAGGCTTGACAGTACTAGTCCCCCAGCCACCTTCTTTGGGGACAGTTGCTGAGTTTCTGAGGGTGGCTCTGGCCTACATGCCTCTAGGCCCTTCACCAAAGAAGCCCCGTAGATTCATTCCAGCAGTTGTCCCCACACCCTGGCTGGCTGAGACATGGTTCTTCGACCTCACCCACCCACCCCACCATCCCCTGGAGTGCAGTTTCAGCTCTCTGTCCATATTGGGCTTTCCTTAGAAGAAAGGGCCCCAGAGCTGAAAAAAGCTTTAAACTGCCTTCCCTCAGTCACCTGGCTGTATCAGTCTCCGTCTGCAGCCCACTAGGTGGCCTCCTTCCCCCAGCTCCCTTTTGCCTACAGAGCATCTGGAGTCCCAGCCAAGGGGTACGTTTGAGACGCCTTCTTGCCTTGGCTTTTTGGGGCCTGGCTGCTGTGTCTTATCTGAAGACATGCCTTTTCCTCCAGGTGAGGTTAGAAATGAACACCTTTTAGGCTGGGCAGGTAGCTCACACCTATAATCTCAGCACTTTGGGAAGCCAAGGTGGGTGGATTACTTGAGGTCAGGAGTTCAAGACCAGTCTGGCCAATTTGGTGAAACCCTGTTTTTACTGAAAAAAGCAAAAAAGGACATGAACACCCTTCCCTAAGGGGACAGAGCCTCATCCCGTAGGCCTTACCTGAATGACAGTAACAATAGTGAGAAGAGGAGGCCAGCACCCATACGGGACATGACTTACCACATGCCGGGTTCTGTCCTGTGCTGAGTGCTTCACACAGGTTTTAACCCACACAGTCCTTGCAACAACTCCGCTCACAAGTACAATGACCTCTTCCCATGTTACAGAAGTGAGGCCCAGAGAGGTTAGGTAACCTGTTATGTCACTCAGTTAGCAAGCGATAGAATGGAATTCAAGTCCAGGCAGTCTGTCTCCAAAGTCTGGCTCAATCCACGGCACTAAGCCTTCCCTGCCAATAAGTTCAGGGGGAGAGACATTCTTGGGTCATTTGGTCACACTGTCCAGGCCACAGATTTGTTATGCACAGGGAGCCGTGAGCCAGCCAGCCCTTGGCTGCTCAGTAAAGACCCACATTGTTGACCAGGGAAACCGCAAATACCTGGGCCTCGGCCTGCCTGTCAACTGATGTTGTCTTGGCATGGGGTCAGACATATAGGCTAAGGGGACAGGCCTCTGGGCAGGCAGGAGCCAGGCCAGAACGGGAGGAAGGCACGGTGGCCCAAATCTGCCAGGGGTACCCAGGAAGCCAGTAGCTGCTGCCCTCCCTTCCCCCTTCCCCCGGCCCAGTACTCCTGGGCACCGAGGGATGGGGGCATAATCCGGGGGAGTAAACAAGCCCCTGCAGGAAAGAGGCTGGGCTGGAGGCGGAATCCAGTTCCTCGGCTGTGACATGCCAAGGAGTAGGCTGTCTTCGCAGGCATGAACTTTCGCCCCCTCTCCCCCTCCTGGCTGCCCTGCCCAGTCCTTGCCCCAGCTGTTGTTTTCTGTCTGAGGCTGGGTTCCTTTCCTCTCATGTGGCTGTGGTTTGGGGTCAGGCCAGTCAAGGATGGTGAATATCAAGCCATTCTGGAGCAAAGTAGGAGCTCTGTGGGCAGCACAGCCCTGTGGGGCGGGGGGCCCAGCACCGAGCCCCTCCACTTTCCTTGTCTGGCCGAGCACAAACGCCTGTCCCCCAGAGCAGCCCAAGGCCAAACCTAAAAAGGCATGCATCTTTAAAAGGAAAGACACCTTCAAGAGGGCCTCAGGGCCCAGCCTCTCTCTCCCACCTAGATCCTTGAGCAGTTGGTTCTGGCGGCTGCCATCCTCCATATGGCCAACAGCTGGCCCTGCAGAGCGCCTGCCAGACGTGGCCAGAGGTTGCCGAGTCAGACCAGGGCTGGGGCTGGTGCCCAGGGGAAGAATGTGTTTGGCTGGCCTGGGGGCAGCGTGCCCAAATAATCTTCCATCTCCTCTCCCCTATCCAACATTCTCTCCCTCCCCGCCTCAGTGGGGTGGTGTTTTCATAACAGGAAAATAAAATCAATAAGGCACTGCAGCAAGATGTCAGTGCGCTCCGAGCCGGCCTCCAATAGCTCCATTGTCTCGGCCTCCGCCGGGCTCTGCGGCCTGCAGCACTCACAGTTATTAACGGGAAGCACGGCTGAAAGGGAGTTTTGAAAATCATGAGACAAAGGCGCAGGACACCTGGAGTGCAGCTTTCCAGCGCCTCGACCACCTCACAATGGCCGGGCTGGGGCTCCCCACCTTTAACTTCTCCAGCAACTTTTTTGAAAGCAGGAAAAGAAAAGCCTAGACATTCACGCGTGTCTGCACACACACACACACACACGCATGCACACACATGCGTGTACATGCACACTGCCCCAAGGGGGCTCCTGGGAAGTGGCTCTGAATGGCCTGCAGAGGCAAAGGCAGCTTGCACAGCCCCCGCTCAGTGAGGAAGAAGGACGGGGATCAATAGGCTTCCTGACATCGCTATGGCCAGGGGCCCGTCCCTCCAGAACTCAGGCTGCCTGAGGGGCTCTGAGCAGCCAGCACGATGGGGGACCAGCCCGAGGCCAAGCAAGAGCTTGGCACAACGCCATTTTCCACATTCTGTTTAGCAACACAGGCTGGCCTCTGCTGCCGTTCCCAAGGCTGGAGCCGCCTCTTCTAGAAGAAATGGGAATGACCTGGAGCTGACATCCCTGAGGCCAGCTGTGGGGACACGTCCTGGGTCCTTGCACAAGGGTCCCACAGCCTTGGACCAGCCCTTAGAAACTTGCTGTGCCTCAGTATCCTCAACTGTAAGGCAGGGACAGTATAAGGAAAGGTTCAGAAGAGACACAGGATATGTGAACGCGTGCCCAGTGGTTAGTAAAGCGTGGGTCCATCATCCTTTAGGACTATTACTGCTTGTCGGTATCTTCCTGCGAACCCGTTACTGGCACTCCGATGGATGCTTGTATGGTCTCAATGTATCTATTTAGGAACCCCGTATTGCCATCTTGGCGTTTCACTGTCACTCACTCATTAAATAGCATTTAATCAACATGGCATAGGATGAGTGGCCTCAGCACCTGCTTGTCTTCCTACAAGTTAGTCACAGAGAAAGACTTTATGGATAATAAAACCCATGTGAACGCTTGCAAACAGTTGCCAGGCCCAGGTCCTGGCAGGACAAGACTCTGGAGGACTCAGGGTCTAGAGCACAGGCTGCCCCTCTGGAGCCTGTGGTGCGGGCGGGAGCCTGCAGCCAGGCAGGGCTCCTCTACCTGGCTCTTGCTCAGAGAGGACACCAGGTCTTACCTTGGTGGTGACCGCAGAGGCAGAGCTGGCCACGAGGCTGGTGATGGCCTCACTGCTGCCAGTGGTGCAGGGAGCAGGAGCTGTGGCGGGGGTGGGCAGCCGGGAGGGCACCACGGGCAGCGGCAGGAGGCCGGGCCGGGCGCTGAGGCTGCTGGCTGTGCCGCCACCGGCCCCCGAGGTGACGCTGCAGATGCTGGTGGTCCCATGCGTCCCGTTGACGCTCCACTCGCGGCGGTCCCAGCCCACCCGGTAATCTCTTTCGAAGCGGCTGTGGTGCCGGGACATCTCGGTGGGCCGAGGCGGCTTCTCCCAGGGAAACAGAGCCCGGACCTGTGGTGACAGGGTGGAGAGGAGGGTGATTTAAGATAGAGCAGGCAGTGACAACCGACGGCATCCATGAAGCCCCTTCTCTGGGTTCAGTGATGGGCTTTCAAACATTAGCTCGTTTCAGAGTCACATGAGCCCACGAAGTGTGGATCATTCATTAGTCCCACTTCGCAGACAAGGAATACATGATTTGCCCAGGAGTGGCCAAAGTAAGCAGGCAGGATTTGAACCCCGTCACAGTTTTAAGTGATGCTGTTTGTTCTGCCACGTGTCACTGCCCTGAACGACACAAATGTGCACATTTCAATTATGGTTGGGATTTTCTCCCCTCTCACCCCACCGTGAGAAAAGAGCTGGGAATGCCTCAGGACATGTTTTCCCCAGCACGTGATAGGATATGGCCACCCACGCATGTAGACTCACTTTACCGTGAACAAAGCCCTTCACATGAATCTCTCTTCCTCCTACAGTAGCCTGTGACGTGGCAGGACATGGATGGTCCCCAGTGGAGGATCGAGGGACCTCGCTGAGAATGTTATCCCTTGAGGTTCAAGTACTGGAAAGTGATAAAGAGTCCAGGACCCCCAGCCTTCAGATCCTAGCTAAAGGCACAACTCAAGTCACAAAGGGCATTAGCCTCCAGGAGTTGGGTTCCCTTTCATAACCACAGCCCTATGATTTGATCTCGGGCATCAGAGACCATGAGTACCCTGGCCTCTGTTAACCAGACCACCTCCCACGCGGCTCTCCTGAGCCTCTGAGAGGAAGGCCCTTCCACGTTGTCATGGAGACCCAGACACGCCACGGTGTTTGGAAGGGCTTCTGAATCACCGAAGATTGCATTTTGTTCAGTATTACCATGACTTGCCTGGTTCCCTGCTCAGCCCGCGCCCCGTGGTACCCTCGGTCAGGAAGGATGTAAAGACGAAGGGGAGGCTGTCAGTCGCAGACAGGCAGAGACAGAGGGAGAGGGCATGACAGTGCCAGGACAGAAGTGGTGGCAGGTTGGGCAGGGGTCTGCATCACACCCACAGCCCTGGCCATGGCCCAGGCACAGCTTGGCTGGCTTTGGCCTTTTCCATTCTCCAACTGTTTTCCAGTCTGGGGGCGAGCCCCTGGAGGGCTAGGCTCCCGGCTCCTTTCCCTATCCTGCTAGTCCAGCTCAGTCCTGGGGAGGTGCCCTGGAATTGCTGGCCAGTGGATAGATAGGCCACTTTATTTAAAAAATACCTGTCTATAAAGCCTGGTCCTACTCTGGCCTTTGCACATCCAGACCTCGTTGTCAACTTCTAGTGCCATGGAGCCAGGGCCTGTGCCCAACCCAGGCAGCCTCCTACCCGCGTTCTACGTGTGTGGCTGGCCTGTGCCCTGGTGGCCATCATCCCCTCTGCCAGGCACAGTGGGCAGACCTGAACCCAACCTGCAGCCTGGGTGAAGCCTGCAGCCCCACCCCCTCCCCCAAAGCAGAGCCGACCATAACTTCTTCAGCTGGGTATGGCCTCACTGTTTATTTCACCACTATGCTTCCTGGCTTACACAATGTCATAAAAATTCTTTTTAAAGAGTCTATCCAGTATTACATGGTTAAAAATAAAAATCAATTCCCTTTTTCACATAAATAAACTTTTTCAGCCGAGCTTCTTGATGGCACTGACTAACCTAAGCTCTGGTTTCCCCGTCCCATTCGCTCTGTGACCTGCTCCACTGTGGCTTTCGTCCCGGCCACTCCATGGGAACTGTTCTCACTGAAGGCATGGGTGACCTGCTTGCTAAATCCAAGGGGACATGTATGCTGCTGTCCTCGACTTCCCTCACATACGACGTGGCTGATCTCCCTGCTTTCCAGAGCCCTCCCCCAGCCCTCCGCTTCCCTCTCGGCTGCTCCTTCTCAGTCTCCTTGTGGGGCTCCTCTTCCTCAGCTCATCCTTTAAAGGCTGGGGTCCTCGGGGTTCCAGATCTCTTCCTCCTCTTCTCCCTGGATGACCTCATCCCTCCATCCCCCTTTCTGATGACTCCCAAAGTTCCCTTTCCAGCTCTTCTCGCTCCTAAGCACCAGCCCCAGCTCCCGGCAGCCTGCACACGCCTTCCCCCAGCTGTTCCACAGGTACCTAAACATCCAAAGTCGCTAAATTAGCTCAGCGTTCCTTTGCCCAAACACCCATCCTCAGGAATTCCCTCCTCAGAGAAAGCTGCCTCTATCTCCTCATCTCCATCCCCCTACGAAACAGCTGGGTCTTAGATTATTCTGCCTCAGTTGCTCTCAAATCTACCTCCTTCTCCATTTGCAGCCATGACCTTCCGTCACTGTCTCCCAGTGTGTCTTTATTTCAACTCGCCTGCTCGCCCCTGGTCTTGTCCTTCTCAGCCATTCTCTACCTAACTGCCCATAGGATTTTTGCAAAGGGAAAATCTGATCATGACACTTTACCTTCCTGCTTTAAGTCCTGTCCATCCGAATAAGGTTCCAGCTCTTCCTGCTGGCCCAGAAGAGGATCTGGGCGGGGCTCCCTTTCCTAGCATCCCCTCTCATTCATCCTGTCCCACCCCAGAGGCTATGCCCCGTCATTCCAAATGCCTTATAGTTTCTGAAGCCTCATGTCCTCTTTCAGCTCAGGGTCCGAGTCCATGCTGCTCTTTTGCCAGGAATGGCTTCCGACCTTCCCCCTGGCTACAGCCTGTGACCCGGCTCAGGCACTGACTCTTCTAGAAGCCTGCACTTGCTTTTCCCCTTCTGGGTCAGGTGAGAGACTCTCGTCCAGTGTCTTGAGCAAACACTGCCCACCCTTCTGGCAGCCATGGCTGCTGCCTATCTGCTGCCTTGAGAACAGGTTCTGGGTCCTCATCCTCTGTGCAACCCCACCAACTTGAACAGTGTCTGGCAAAGAAGGGTGCTCAGTACCTGTGCGTGGAATGAATCAATAAACAAATGCTTGCTTTTTCTTAATTGCTGAGCACTTCCAGGGAGGACAAATATATTTGTGTGAAGAGAAAACCTCAGACACAGAAAGAAACGGTGAGTCTCCTGACTGGAAATCCCACGTAGGCGCTGGAATAAGAAAACATCCTACCTTGGTCTGGGCACGGTGGTTCACACTTGTAATCCCAGCACTTTGGGAGGGCAAGGCAGGCAGATCACTTGAGGCCAGGAGTTCAAGACCAGCCTGGCCAACATGGTGAAACCCCATCTCTACCAAAAAAATGCAAGAATTAGCTGGGCATGGTGGCATGCGTCTGTAGTCCCAGCTACTCAAGACGCTGAGGCATGAGAATCGCTTGAACCCGAGAGGTGGTGGAGGTTGCAGTAAGCCGAGATCGAGCACTGCACTCCAGCCTGGTGACAGAGTGAGACCAAAAAACAAACAAACAAAATGCACACACACACACACACACACACACACACACACACACACTCGCACAGAAAACATCCTACAGTCCTAGTAACCTTGAACAGAGAATATCTGCATGTCGAGGTCAGCTGGGGCTCACAGTATAGACGCCTCCCCCAAGGGTCACCTGCCAACAAGGGGCTCTTGCTGGTTATCAGTGCCTCAGGGACACTGCCTCCCTAGGGTTGGATCCTAAATGTGGCAGAGAGGGTGTTATGTGTTCACCACAGTGGGACCTCTTTCTGAGCACAAGGAGGAACTCTCCCAGCTCCACTGCAGTTAAGTTGGGCTGTGTCTGGAGTTTGGCCGGTAGGATGGGTAGGGAGGTGATGGAGACTGCTTCTAGACCTGGCCCTCCGCAAACATCGTGACCCTCAGTTCCCTTCGCCTGTCACGGCAACCTTGGAGGCCACATATTCCAGATGGTGCCACCATCTGATGGAAGAGCATCTCCCTAGGCACCCTGGATGCTGCAGAGTGGAGATGTGGGTCTTTACTGTGATCAGGCACTGAGACTGGCAGTCTATGTGTTATTCAAGTGCAGCCTAGCCTGGCCTGACTGATGTGATCAATCAGCCCCTGCCTTCCTACAAAACAACATAACCTCACATATCATCAAAGAAGCCATCTCTTTCCAGCTGGGGAGGATGGAGGTGAGGAGGGTAGGTACTGAGGGCGGCCAGCAACCCTGCCCCCTAAGACATACCTAGATGTGCTTATCAGATCAAAGGGGTCTCCTAGGCCCCAGTAAAACCTCTCCACTCGCTGCCTGGGAGACCACCTGCTGGGCCACGCCATGCTTGTACCTTACAGTTCCGGTGCACGAAAACAAAGCCCAGGCCCCAGCACCCCACACCTCCCACCACTCCAGCCCCTGCCCTGATGCTCAGCTCCTCAAGTCTCCTTAAAATGCCAGGCAGGAGATGGAGACTCAAGATCTGGAGCCCAAAATCTGGTTCCAGCCTCATTATGTGTACTCAAAACAAAGGTCAAGCATGCCAGGCTTTCAGTGAGACTTCATTCCTCAATGCCACTTCCCCTTTCAAGCATCAGGAGAGAAGGGCATTGCACAGTTTACCCTGAATGAGACGGCGGAGTGCCAGCACCAGAGGTAGCAACTTGAGTATTTCCTGCTGGGCACCAAGCCAGTGTGTCACAAGGTGTGTGTCCAGAGTGGTGCTGAAAGAGGCGTCAGGAAGTGCCAGTCTGGTGGAAGGAGGCTTGGAATGGACGAGGTACCTTAGACAAGACTGGTCAAGCAGTTACCAACAAAACACATCCCAATGTTTCCTTGTCAAGGTGAGCCCCCTTTCCTGGCAGGCTGCCTGTGAACTGGCAGAGCCTGGCACAGGGCCCTTTGCCAGTGGGCGGGGGGACAGGCTGAGCAGAAGCCATCCCCTTGTGTGGAGGGGACCATTTACAAAGACACTAGGACTTGAGCCTGGGTGGGGTTAGTGCCTTGCTGGCACCTGTTTAAATTACATGCACACGTGAAGAAAACGCTCTAAAGACCAGCACATTTTGTGTTCGCAGGAGGAGGTGGGCCCTGCCGAGGTGCAGGGTGGAGGCAGTGCAGTGCAAGTCCTGGGTGAAATGTGAAGGCCTCACAGGTATTGT